TGTGACCGGCCGCAGAGACGGGAGCCCTGGGGCGTTTTCGGGCCCGGCGGGCTGGAGCGCCCGGCGGCAGGTGTGCGGTTCTGCGCGCGCCCGCCTCAGGTCGCTGTGAAATGCATGCTCACTGGGCCGAGTGGTGCGGCTCCTAACTCCGTCCGCCTGGATTCTCTGAGTGGCGCCTCATCTGCAGATGTAATTAACGAAGGTGAGGTCTTACTGAATTGGGGGCGGACCCAAGTTCACTGAGCAGAACAGGGGACACAGGGACCAGGCCACCTGGAGACAGAGGCAGAGGCTGGAGTGACACAGCTTTAAGCCAGGGCAGGAAAGGCACGCAGGGGATCGCCTGGAGTCCCCAGAAGCTGCAGGAGACAGGGGGTCAGCCCTGTCCCCCCTTCTCCTCCCCCCACCCCGTCAGCCTCCAGGACTCACAGTCCTAGGAGTCTAATGCACATGTCAATACGTTACTTACAAAAACGCAAACCCACAACAGTCTCAAGTGTGCATGAGTGTATATATGGTAGGGAGAGAAAAAACTTGTATTTGATGCCTGAAGTTTTTCAACACGGCCTTTGTTTCACAGTTGGATCTAAGACGTCGCAGTAAATGGGTCCAGCGGAGGTAACACACAGGTTCAACGCAGACTAACTGAAAACGGCACCGCGGAGCCCACCACCGCTTGCAGACCTCACTCGGGTCACGGAGGTGCCAGCCGTCTGAATGCAAACAGACAGCCCTGCCGCGTGAGTGGCCATTTCCCTGGGCATGGGGTTGTGTCGCCACCCCCAGAGGGGACACTGGGGGTTTCGGGGTGCGTTTGCAGATTCTGTGCGGGGAGTGCACAGCCCGCAGGCATCTGCGGTGCGCTTAGCCCGGTTCTCCTGGTCCCCCAGTTTTTTGGGTCAGATCACTGTCGCCTCCGACGCTTGGGCCTCTGACAATCGCTGGAACGTGAGACGGTTTCGGTTTCCCTTTGCTGAGCTGAGGGTTTGCGAGCCGTTCATGCTCTGAAGCAAGATACATGTTCTTCTTTGTTTCCTCTCGCAAGAAAAACAAGCTGGGAAAATAGTTTCAAACTGCCAGTGAAAGGTAAACAAACGATGAATTTTTCAGAATCTCCGCATATAGACTTCCCTTCTCAAATAAGAACATGAAAATAGCTAGGAAGTCCATCACAAAAGGAAAACTGACCCCTTGTTTTGTAACCATCCCAAAGTGTGTACCAATAAACTACACTGGTTCAGACAGAGGTGAAGATGCAAAAACCACAGACACTGAACACCACCGAGGGTTGTCAGGGCAGACATCCACCGTGAGCCACTGGGAGTGGGCATGCTTTGTGGTGAGCACACATCGTTTTGTTATATTTTGTACCCTTTCTTTTAAACCGGAGGTAGCCTGCCACAAGTGTAGCCCTTCCGTTCCTTTCCGAATAATCAGTGCAAGGGGCGGGGGGGACTGAAACATTATCAGGTTTTTTTCTTAATTCATTAATCCATACAATCCTTAAATATTTGGATATTTTTACACATGTTGAGAAACAAGTATTCTCCCAGGAAAAAGAGACGATCTAGACCCAGATCGCTGACGGCCAAGTCCTGCCACCCTGCCACCTTGTAGAAGATGACAAACCCCAATTAGCCTGACTGGGGGCAGAGCCCCGAGATCGGTTTGAAATTCTTACACCAGTGTGGAAGTTCACACAGGCCGTGACAGTGGACTAGATGCAAAAGCCTAATATGAAAGTTGAATCATTTTTACCCCAGTTACTGTGATAATAAAGGAAGGCATGCAAGTGAACTTGGTAGCCCATCCGCCCAGTCCCCTGTCCCAGCCTGGAGCCTGGGGTCCTCAGCGCCCCCTCCTGGGCTGGTGCTGGGCTAGACGGGCGCGGCTTAGCCCCTCGCCTGCGTCCCTGCGTGCTCTCGGAAGCTTGCTCCCACAGGCTGGGCCCCGCACGACTCCAAAGCTCTTGCTTTCTCAGATGCTGCTGCGCGTCCACAGGAGGCGCCACAGCTTCTGTCTCTTGAATAAGGAGCCCACGTTTTTCTCTGACATACCAAGAATGAAGGACTTCGTGACAGCTGTGCTTAAAAATACCAAGCCACCATGAAAATACCTTTGGGATTCTTTCCATACCTTGGCTGGTGGGTACCGGGCGGGGAGGGGAGGGGCGGATGTGGGCGGATGGTGTCAAGTTCCGGTTCTGCTAGCTGACCAGGGCCCTGAGCACTGCAGTGCCCCACCGGGCCCGCGGGTCACACCGAGGTCCTGCGTGGGGATGGGGGGGCGACTGGACGTCACAGGCCACTAGGGGCCGAAGACACAGGAGGCCGCCTGCCCTCGTTCCCTCCCAGCCAGATCTCTGCTTTCTTCCTGCTCGGCAGGCGCCGTCTCATCAGTCCCCTGGCCCGAGTCCCCCGTCCCATCTCTGCGCCTGGATCCCGGAGAGCTCTCCAAAGCGGCCGCTGTGCCCGGGGAAATCCTGTTTTCCGGGCTGACCGGGGCGCCCGTGGTGTGTGTGCCGAGTTAAGCTTGGTTAAACGGAACTGAGTCGGATTCTGGAGACCACACGCTCCGTGACTCCTGCGGGGGCTGAAAACGACGGGAGTTGGAGGCATGATCTAATGGTTTATGAGTGGAACGGTAATCAGTAGTAACTTCCCTGGTGCTTGCATTTCTTAAATCCTCAGCATAAGTCACATCACTTCTGTTTCTGAAGCAACCAACCTCAGATCAGCCAGTGTCGTGCCGCTTCCCCCTTTTTCTCTCAGAGCGCCCCTGTTCCCCAAATGTCCAGCAGGGAGGAAGAGAAACCTGTCGACTTAGCTCCTTAAAGCAAGATCAGATTGGCCGCTAGGGAGCGGAGGTCATTGTCCCTTACCCAAGAAAACGCGGATCGCAGCGCCACCTGCTGGACACCCTGAGCTGTGCACCGTCAGGGTTAAGCAGGAGCTCTTGGACTTAAGATCCGAGTGAGAAAAAAGCCTTGGGGGCGGGGGAAGACTTTCAGGGGTGGGCACCCTTTTGCAGCTGCTGAGGTTCCCTGGGTATTCTCTCCAGAGCCGAGAGGCCTGGGAGCATGCGGGCCGCCGAGCTACCTGCTGCCTTCCTTCCTGCCGTCCTTTCCAAGACCCACCCACCCCACCCCCGGTGCTGCGGAATGAAGGTTTGTTTCCCCCAAATTCCCGGGTGATCCCCCAAGATGATGATGGCACTCAGAGGTGAAGCCTTTGGGAGGTGATCAGGTCCCAGGGGTGGAGCCCACGGAATGGGATCGGCACCCTAATGGAACAGGCCCCAGCACAGCAGGGACCAGTGGTCGCCGGGGTCTGGTGTGTCCTGTTTCACAAGGTCCTGGCGCCTCGGCGCCTCCAGGGCGCTTCCAACAACTTTCTAGTCCTGAGGATGAAGTCTCACAAAACAATCGGGGTCAGTCCGGTTCTATGGGGTCCAGCCAGCTCTGGGAGAGAGGGCCTGAGAAAGTGGCCCTTGTCCTTTCAAACAGAACTGAGGCTTTTCCCTATCCAATTGGAGCTGTACAAGCATATCCTTATTAGCACCAATCAGAGCAGCTCCATTTTGACCAATCAGGAGAGTGGACTTTGGACCAACCAAAGTGCAAGGATTTGGAATCCTCATTTACATGAGAGCAGACCAATCAGGAAGTGGGGTGGGGACTTCTCTGCATATAAGTTAGTTCCGGAGGCTACAGGAGACGCTGTTCTGTCTGGGGGAGTAACTCTGGGTAGAGGGGAAATGGGCCGAGTGGAGTTATCTCCTCGCAGAAAAAAAAAAAACCCATGGGGCACTTCACAGCCTTGTTCTCCGGGCTGGGCTGTATTACAGTTGTCAACGCAAGAAACACCCAAACCTGTAACAATTTTTACCAGTTTGTTTGAGCCAAACTGACAACAATTGCTTGGAAACAAAATCTCAACGCACTTAGAAAATGCTCCAGAAAATGGCAGTTTTGCACCTTATTTCATACATTACAATCAAAAGGAAAGACATAGGCGGTTACGTAAAATCCATTGGTAATAGATTAGGAAGGTGGGAGAAAGCAAAGCGGTGGAGGGTAGGGATGGGGGCACCCCTGGGTTGGATAAAAAGTAAGCTGATAGACACATACTTCTTTTATGTGGGTGGGTCCAGGGTCATTAACAGTCAACAATTAACACAATGACGGTAACAATGGCAGACTTTGTGGTCTCTGCTCTGATCCGTTGCCTGTCCTTTGAGGGGTCCAGAAAAAAAGGGAAATTACTTTGTTGCTTTTGCAGGTATGCCATCCTGGATGCACAAAGACGACAGGCTCAGTTAAGGTAAAGATTGACCTTTGTTAGGGAAAAAAAAACAACACTGCCCTAGGACGTGGCTACCGGCCAGGAACCACTTGTAGTTGGAAAGCTTGTATTTCAGACCATGCTGCGTGGTTACTTTCCGTCTCTGAGTTTGCAGGCTCCGGAGCAGGCCTCCCCTGAGCTTGTCAGGGTCAGTGCGGGGCCCCTTTTCACGCACACGGTGGAGCTGTGGGCACTGAATAGCTTCCTGAAGCTTCCTTCCTCACTGCACCCCTACGCAGGGGTTTCTGTGGGCATGGAACTGGCCATCACGACCCTTGGTTGACAGTCTGCCTTCCTCCTTAACTTCCAGGATTATTGAGTCTAAATACTAAAACATTGGTGATGGTGCTGATTAAAGTTTTGTGAAAACAGTGCCAAAGCTACGTGAGATGGAAATGTGTGTGACTAGCAAGACGTGCACTGCTCAGGAGCTTTTTGGGGATGGGACATTCCCAAAGCTGGAGGGTCCAGGGGGTAAGGCGTGGGCGCCCCGACTTGGGACGCGGAACGTCATTAAAACCCAACAACCCTCAGGCGCCAAAACGGACGAGCGAGTCGGAGCCAGCACGGTGCACGAGGGCGACCACGCCCAGCCTTGCCCCTGACCCTCAGCCTCTCTGGGTCCTCCGCCCGGGGTCCGCGCCCTGGAGGGGCGGGGCCAGGGAGGCGCGGGGCGGGGCCAGCGAGGTCCCCGGAAGAGGCCGGGGTCGGAGGGCTGGGCAGGGCTCAGTGTGCACAGTGCGCTGCGGTGACCCAGACGCATCAGGCGGCCTCAGTGCAGCGGCTGTGGGAGGTGAGCGGCCTTCGCTGGCCCGGCAGGGGGCCCGGGCCGGAGTCGCGCCAGGCTCGGAGTGCGGAAGGGGCCGAGGCAGGGCGGAGGGCTGCAGCCTCAGCGGGGCTGGAGCCGCGGGGGCCCTGAGTGCGCGGCGCGCCGGCCGCCACGGGGTCGGCTGTAGAGTGGCCGCGCCCACCTCTGGGTCTCTCCCTCTCTCCGCCCGCGGTGACGGGAGAGCGGGTGTCTCGTTCAAACGGGGCCGGCGCGGAATCCGCGGCTCCGCAGGTCCAGGGCCGCAGCGCACAGACGCTTTTGTCCCGCGGAGGCTTTGCGGAGGCTCAGGTCGTGGCTGGGCGGCCCGGCCGGGGTCAGAGGGCCCGGGGTCAGGGGTTGCTAGCTTCCGGGGACATTCCAGGCCGGGGGTCTGAGCAGGCTGGTGGTCGCATCAGCTCCGGTAATTCTCACCTGTGCAATAGACGCGAGCCCTGGCCCCGGGTCGCGGCACCCACGCCCTCGTGCCCGTGGGCCCCGCGGACGGGGCCGCCAGCCCGCCCCTGCTGCTGCGATGGGGTCCGGGGCGTCATCCTGGAGCCGAGCCGGGGTGCGGGCGGGCGGGCGGGCGAACCTGCCCCAGCGGGCACCTTCCGTGCACCCCTTGGACGTCCCTGGTGTGGGCGCGGAGGAATGGGGACAGGGTTCGTGGGACCGTGTGTTCGGGAGCTCTGGACGGGGCTAATTGGGAGCCCCTGCCCCTGGTGCAGTGGCTTTTTGCAGAGACGCAGCCACGATTCAGGATTTACTTACTGTAACATACGCCGTTGAGTGCATGCGGACTGAGAAGCATTTGCAGGTGTTGTAGGCGGTCCCAGGAGCTCCATCCCTGTCCCCCCCACCCCGCCCCACTAGGTTCCCTGTTGAAGCCTTGTTGCTCCCCAGGAACCTCAGGGGTCAAGAGGGGCAGCGAGGGCGGGACCCATTTCCAGAGGATATGTACTCGTGTTCACACCAGTACCGCGCTTTTGCTTTAAAACATTGGTGGCAGGAGGCCCCAGGTAATGGGGGGCGAGAGAGGACCCCACAGCCCTGAAGCCCTGGTAGGAAGGAGGAGACCCGGGCGGGCTGCCCTACCGAGGAGCCAGAGTTGCTGTGCTTGGTCCGGCAGGCCGCCGGGGTCTGGTCCGTGGACTCTGCTCTGGGGGGCGGGGGGGGGGGCGGGAGGTGCGACGTTAGTGCTTCCGCCTGTGAGGGGCTCTGCGGGAGGCCGGGGCCTACACACCCCAGTGAGTCTGGGGTTTGTGGCTCTCAATGACCAGGAACCCAAATAAAGGTACCAGCCTAGCATACTGTTATAGACGCTTCCTGTTCACAGTTTTGCTGGTGGGCGGATGGATATTTGACTTGCTAACCATGAAGTCTGTAGTGTTTGTGGACTATGTGTGTGGGGGTGGGGGGGGTGGAGGTGCTCTTTCAGGGCTCAGCCCCCACAGGCACCACCTGTTGGCTGGTGGGTTGGTACTGGTGAGTAGGTCAGGCTCCGAGGCTGCTGTTTGCAGAGGAGGAAGGAGGCGCTGGGAATATGCAGTTTGACCTACGACCTTACTGACCTCTCACTGACCTCACACTGCGCTGCGCAGAGGTGACACCTCAGCCCCTGTGCAGCCGTCCCGCTTCTTGTCGCTGCGGGTGCAGTCACTTCTCCGTTCAAACACTACTTTGAGGTCCGACACCGAGCAAAACTTGTGCCTGTGCCCAGGCGTGAGCACCGCCGGACGTGGCCGGACCCGGCCGGACCCGGCCGGACCCGGGAGTCTGCCACCGCAGGCCTGAAACTCGGCGTGTCAGCGGGGTGTGGCCCAGCCCTTCCCACCACTGGAGGGGACCCGAGTTGTCGGCCGAAGCAGTTGTGAAAGTGGAAGCACCCGGATGGGTTTTGTCTCACGTGCACCTCGAATTGTAAAGGCGATCCGTCGGTCAAAGGACTTCTCTCCCTGTGCCTGTGGGGTGGAGCTGGGGGCGCTGGGTCGCGCGCACGGGAACCGGAGTGGGGCGCAGAGCGGTGGAGTCGCTTTCCCCCTAAGGTCTGTGTGCAGGTCGCACCTGGTGCTTTTGGCAGGCCCTGGACTCGGACTGTCCACTTCCTTGCGGAGTTCAGGGGCCTGGCCTTGGGCTTTTTGCATGTGTTGTGACGTTTTTGCTTAGGTTGGGGGGAGGGGTGATGATCGCCCCCGGTCACAGCAGGTGGGAAGTTCTCTGTGTGCCTCACGGGACTGAAGTCACACGTGTGCAGTGCTCTACGTCCGTGTCACTGGGAAGCACCTGCTTTCAATTTTCATCGGAATGTCTTCCACCAGGCCCTTCCTTCGTTACCTGCCGCTTTGACATGCTTTGGTCGCAGTTCCCTCTGTGGGGGGGGGGACCAAGCTAAGCCTCTAGCCAAAGCTTTCGTTTCTTGGGAACCCGGTCCCTTCCTGGAACCCACGTGGCTGGGAGGGCGGGGTCCGAGTCCGTGGCCCTGATCCAGACCCTGCCCTGAGTCAGCTGGGCATTGTCTACCGACAGGACTGACCAACCGCTTTTCCTCCCCAGAACCTCCAAGGGCTGCCCTCGGTGGAAAGATGTCGGCCCTCGCCGCCCTGTTCAAGTATGTGGACGACAATCAGGACCGCTACATCAAGGTGAGGGGACGGTCATTTACGCTGCTCACCCTGCAGTCCGGCTTGCTTCGGGGGGGCTTGGGGGGGGCGGGGGGAGAGTGTGAGGGACGCTGTTCCGGGGAAGTGTGACAGACAGACAGACAGACAGCGCCGGTTCTCTCCTGTGGGCCCCCTGAACGCGGCTGGGGAAGCAGAGTGGTGGCTGTGGCGGGGGGGGGAGGTGCTGGGCAAAGGGCGCTCACTCGGTTTTCGGGTGACTGAGTTCCGGAGGTTCGTGTGCAGCGTGGGGGCTGTGTGTCTGCTTGGAATTGGCCGCGAGAGTGGTTCTGAAGTGCTTGCACGTGAAAACAATGGCCACTAAAAATGTGTGTACGTGTGTGTGTGTGTGTGTATGTGTGTGTGTACAGTCTAGAGGTTTTTCTCCTTTATCTCCTCTGTGCCTTCAAATGTACGGAAGGTAACATTTCTTGGCTTTTGACAGAAAACCTTACGAGATTGTTACTCTCCATCTGTAACTCCTCGTGGTTGGTCTGGGTCAGAGACCTATTTTGCCCTTGGGGTGCTGTGAATGGTTCAGTAAGGTCACAGCGGGACCCGCTTCCGGAGGGTCACAAGGAGCACCATGCTCTGAGGTCGCTGCCGGGGACGCAGTTCAGGCGAGCGCTGCGGAGGAGTTCTCGCTCTGAGGGGCGCACCTTGGGGGGCTCAGCCCCTGTCGGGGTGGGAGCTGGGCTGGGCTGGGCTGGACTGAACGTCCTGGGTGTTTTCTCCGTCCCGCGGCTGCAGCTTTGTCAGATTCAGGTGTAAAGGTATTTACAGAACACGCAGGGCCTTCCACCTTCCCCTCCCGCTCCGTGGTTAAGAAAACACATCCTGACGTGCTCCTGTCGTGCTGCACTTCCCAGTACACGGTCAGTAAAGACACGATTTAAAACCTCAGGCGCAGCGGAGGCCTGGCGGATCTGTCCCCTACACCTGGTCAACAAGGTCAGAGTGCAGCGGCCGCAGGTCGCGCGGGCCAGTGCTGGGTGCCCAGAACACGGCCGGTGTGTGGGTGCCTTCCTGCCCAAGGAGCACCTCGTGAGAGTCCCCCTTTCCTTGCTGTCCATGAACAGAAGCTCGCGGAATGGGTGGCCATCCAGAGCGTGTCTGCCTGGCCCGAGAAGCGGGGGGAGATCAGGAAGATGCTGGAAGTAGCCGCGGCGGACATCAAGCAGCTGGGCGGCTCCGTGGAGCTGGTGGACATTGGAAAGCAGAAGGTACGGTGTGGGGGCCTGGTTCGCATACCGATCCCTGCGCGGTTCCTGCAGGTGGGTGGGCGGGGCAAAGGGTTCCTCATCCTCCTGGGCATCTCCGTCTCAGAGGGAGCGTTATGGGGGCTCACTGGAGCAGAGGTGAGCCTGGGGGCCGGTCTCAGAAAAGAGCTGAGACTTCCCAGAAATCAGCTGCCTTTCCAGCAGGGCGGGGCCATTCTGTCCACGAAGATGTCAACACACTCTGTCCCCAGGCCCTGATGACTAGGACGAGCACTTACCCTTGACGAAGGGGAAGTTTGTTGGGGGTGCACGCTGACAGATGGCCGTGGTCTGTTTCTTCGTGACCGACGTGAACAGCCCCTTTTTGCTAACCAGCCCCCCCTTAGTGTCGGACGAGGCCCAGCCCGCCTGGACCACACGTTTCCTGCCGCGTGTTTTTGGGGTGGCCGTGTGGTTTTACATTGCATGGTGTGGCACGGTTTGGTTTCTCTCCGGTCTCTTGCCCAGTGGTATAGGGGTCAGCGGAGGTCATTGTCCCCAGATTTTGCATGTGGATGTTCAGCCCAGTCTGCTCCTTTTTACCGCAGCTGGAAGCACCCAGAGGCCCAGCAGGGCTGGGTCTCCCCTGGCAGCCACTGCAGTTCGCGGCACCAGAGGGGGACCCGGCCTCCTAGCTCCAGGCCAGCCCTGTACATGTGTGTGTGTGTGTGTGTGTGTGTGTGTGTGTGTGTGCTTTCTCCCGACTGCACGGTTCATCGCTGCCTTAAGATTGTGCAATAGAATTTGCAGCTTCCCGGCACCACCCTCCGTTCATGAGAAAATAAACCAAGATTCTTTGTATCATCTTCTCTTGGGAGCGTGCCTAATGGGCTCCCACTTCCTGTTTTTTCCTGGTGTATTCAAAACAAACCTGGGGGGCAGGTTTGCTTCCTGCAGTTCTCGCTTTCCAGAGTTGGTTTACTGCCCTGAGCACAGACAGACAGCGCAATTTCTAAGAAAAGGCCCCCCACAGGGACTAGAATGACCGCCACAGCACCCTGAACTGCGCAGCGCCCACTTTCACCTGGGAGTCGACAGGTTTCACCGCTGTCCGCACGACCCAGGGCTGCCTGTGCGGCGAGGGTATGGAGTATCAGAGCCCCATCGGGGCACTGGGCAGCGGTGCTCTGGTCATCGGGGGGGCCAGGGCGACCTCGGACAGGTGTGGAGGGACAGTGGGTGTTGTTATCGGATGCATACACACACAGGCTTACGGGGGAAAGATGGCGTCACAGGGGTTCTGAGTCCTGGTGGCAGGCCCCAGGGTGCGGGGCCTAGTGGGTGAGGCCCCGGGGGCCGATGTGGGCTGTTTGACACCGGGCCTGCCTGCCCAGGCCCGTGCAGCGCAGGTCAGGTGGGGCCTGTCCGCCGCCACCGCCCCAGCTGGGACAGACAACGGCTGCCTGGCCGGCAGGTGCAGGACCCCTGCTCACCCTGGGCCCGGTCCCAGGCGGAGGGGCTCAGGGAACGGGGCAGCCCTGGCCCCGGGGCCCAGAAGGGGCGCGAGGGAAGCAGCTGACGATGCGCAGGACGGAGCGGGGCTCCCCGGGCGCTGCGTCCCCTTTGGGGCGTGGCCATGGGGATGGGACGGGGAGGAGGACAGAGGGGAGGAGGGCGAACACAGCCTGGTCCCCGGCTCCGCGCTGGCGGAGGACTGTCGGGCCAGAGCAGTCAGGGACGCCCGGGGAGGGGTGTGCGGTTTGCAGACTTGCCTGTGGGCCTGGACGGCTCCTTAGAAAATTCTAAAGGATGGCAGGGGAGCTGTTTTGAGCGGAAGTTTATTTAGAGAAAATGTGTTGTCGTTTGAACATCCTCCCCCCACCCCACACCCTGAGGCAAGAGGAGGACCTGCGGTGGCCCCAGTGCCGGTGACCTGTGAGATCAGGGCAGTGGGCACCAGGAGCGGTTCTTGGCCCCTGGTGGCTCTCGGAGGCCGTCCCCGTGGGGGCCGCACATGGGCACCTGTGGGGCTACCGAGAGCCACGCACGCCGAGGGTTTATGAGCAGCACTTGCGGGAGGCACACCCGCACTCCGCATGAGTCCTGGCGGCCTGGCGCGCTCCGGGGGGACGTGCACACCCAGCTGCGCCCAGGCCCCGGCGCCGTCACTGTCACCGGCCGCATGCCGATGGCTGGTGTCTCTCACCGGCGGCTCGCCTGCCTCTCGCTGGTGAATCGCAGCCTCTCGCTGGTGAATCGCAGCTTCAGCTTCGTCCCAGTTTAGCGGTGAGCAGTGTGTTTGTGAACGTGTTTCCACGGGGACTGCTTTCTGGTAACTGGACAGACACACGCGTGCGTGATGGTTCTGGCACGGGTGATCCTCGCCCAGCAGCCGGCACGCACGAAGGGGGAGTGTTTGCCCTCTGGCCCCCGCCCCCGCCCCCAGCGGTTTGCCGGTGGTACTCTGTGGTGGTGACAGGTGTCCCTGTTGGGATGCAGGAGCTGGGGGTGCAGGGCATCCAACGTGACAGCTGGAGGGTCCAGCCGACGTGCGTGTGGGAGGAGCCCCGGGCTTGCCGCTGCGTCCCCGCACCCTGTCCTAGATCACAAGCATGCTGTGGTTAACGCACTGACCCCGTTCCCACGGGACTCGGGGGGACCCGGCAGGCCCTCGGGGGGAGCCCAGGACCAGCTGCCAGTGCGTGAGCACACGGCTCCCTCTGCCCGGTCGCTGCACCCCGGGCTGTGGCCCCGTGTGTGCGGGACTGGGGTCCACGGGCAGGATTCCGGGCACCGGCCCTCTGCTTCAAGGTTGCAGTGGTTTCTGTCCATCATTGTAGGAAGCACTGGAATAAGTTGCATCCCAAACTCACCTTTCATGATGTGTTTTGTTACATAAAAGTTAAAAAAACACCGACTGGCGACTGGCATAGCTCAGTGGATTGAGTGCAGGCTGCGAACCAAAGCATCACAGGTTCGATTCCCAGTCAGGGCACATGCCTGGGTTGCAGGCCACGGCCCCCAGCAACCGCACATGGATGTTTCTCTCTCTCTCTCTTTCTCCCTCCCTTCCCTCTCTAAAAATAAATAAATAAATCTTTAAAAAAAAAAAGTTAAAAAAACAACCTGCCTTAAAAAACTCACCAAAGGGCCTGCGGTTGGTGCACACAACTGTGTCTTTGTTCTCTGGATTATAGGAAAGTAAATTCTCGTTAATTAACGATCCGGTCGAGCAATCTGACCTTAACTCTGCAACGAGGGTGATCGACGGGAAGGGCAAGAACGCTCCAGGTGTTTTAGTGATGTCGGCCGTGCATGGCAGGTTTCTAAACAAAGGCCGTGCTCACTCGCCCCTCTCCCCGCCCAGCTCCCCGACGGCTCGGAGATACCGCTGCCCCCCATTCTCCTCGGCACGCTGGGCTCCGACCCCCAGAAGAAGACCGTGTGTATCTACGGCCACCTGGACGTGCAGCCGGCGGCCCTGGAGGACGGCTGGGACAGCGAGCCCTTCACCTTGGTGGAGCGGGACGGTGAGGACCCTCTCCACGGGGGGGGCGGGGGGCTCCCAAGGCTGCTGCCTCGTCCAGGCAGGGTCCCCAGCGTGCCCTTGGCCATCTGCCCAGGACAAGCTGTTTCCCATGATGTAGATGTCACCTTCGGGAAGGAAGTCTCACGCGTGTGCAGTCACAGACCCCCCAGAGTGCCCCCGTCCCGTGGGACTGGGGTGTTGTGTCTGGGGTTCAGCTGGGCTCCCCCGGTTCTGGGTAGAGGCAGCGCAGCCCTCAGACACGGGTCCCCCAGGGACAGCCGGTTTCTAAATGCTTCCGGGGCACATCCCAGCAGCTCCCTCCGCCTGGGGACGGGAGGGGAGCCTTTGTCTTCCCCACCGCTGGCCGCCCTGGGCAGGGACGGTGATGGCTCGGTCAGTCACGGATGCCACTCGCCGGGCGGGCACAGGCAGAGGCGTTATCCTGGACCCCCTGCCCCCGGCCACTAGGCTGAGCTCTCCTTCTGCCCCAGCAGTAGAGCTCCGGCCTTGGCCTTGGCCCGAGGAGGAGCCTGGCCCCTCGCACCTCGCTCCCCCCGGGGCCACGTCTGGGCTGTGTTTACTGACGGTCCGTCCTCAGACGTGCTGATGCTGCGCACAGTCTGGTCTCTGTCCTCGGGTGGCGTCTTTGAGGAAGGTCGGCCCCATGCCGCGGGGTCACCGCGGTGCGGGGAGCTGGGGCACGGACCTCGCTGCAGGACAGGCTCCTCCCCCGCCGCTGTCGGGACCCGCGCTTCGCTCTCCAGCCTGTCCGCCCCTCCTCCCGTCCCCTCCCACCATGTCCCCCGCCCTGCCTGCAGGCCCTCCGGTGGCTGTGGAAGCCTTGAGCCCCCTCCGTCCCGCCCACAGTGACAGGACCTGCTGGGTCTCCGCCTGCCGCCTCTGCAGCCTCAGTCCCACTGGCTACCCCCCCCCCCCGGCCCCCACCTGTGCCTTGTGCACACCTGGAGGCGCAGCCCCTCACCGATCACACCGGGCAGACAGCTCCCTCGGTGGCTCGGCGTCCACCCCGGGACAGGGGAGGGGTGCACCCCCGCCCTGCCGCACACCCCTGTGCAGCGTGGTCCGCACACTTCGGCCACCTCGTCAGCGCTCGTCCCGGGAGCTGGGGTGCTTTTCGGGAGAGCTCTTCAGCTTTCGTGAGAAGCCGGGTTTGACGTGAAAAGAAACGCCCGGAAAGGACGGCGTCCAGCCCCCGGCCACCTCGGGCTGGGCCCTGCCACAGCCGCCAGGCGTAGGAAAGCGGCCTTGGGGGTGGGGACGCCGGAGGGCCGGGCTGGCCTGGGCCGCGGTGCGGTGCCGTGGCCGCCCTCGGGTGCCCCGCACCCCGTGACAGAGGGCCAGGAGGAGGGCCTGGCCTTGCTCCCCCCTGCCCAGACACCTGGTCTCGGGGGGCCCAGAGGCCAGTGTGGGGGGACAGACTGCGACCCCGTCCCCATCCACTGGGGAGCAGCAGGACCGTGCCGGCCGTTCTCAGAGGCGGCCCAGAGACTCGATGACAACCCTCCGTCCCGTCCCCTGAGCACACGGGATGGGGGGCTGGAGGTGCGGCTGGGGCTCGCGGCTGTCTCGGGAAGGGCACTCCGGCTCCGTGCCTCCTGCCCGTGCCAGCGCAGCTTCCTCGCCCTGATCTCCGCCAGCTGGTCGCGGCACGAGATTGTAGCACGCTCCCCGCTGATACCATGTTCCCGGGCGGGGGCCAGGCGGGGGCCGGGCGGGGGGCCGGGCGGGGGGCCGGGCGGGGGGCCGGGCCGGGGGCTGGGCCGGGGCCAGGGCCGGAGTTTGCGCCCTGAGTCAGCAGGAACCCAGCCAGCGCTGGCTAATCGCTGTGTCCTCGGGGTGGGGGGGGGCCTGGGAGCACCCACGTGGCGGCAGCCTCTGGGGATTCTCGCCGCAGTGCCACGAGCGGGCTCCGGCTCCGGCAGCCTGAGCACGGGCTCCTGCCGTGCAGAGGGGCTCAGGCCCTCAGGACGCGAGTGGTTCTGCCGAGACGTTAGCAGACGCTCTCGGCGGGGGGGCTCTCTCCTGTGTGTCTCCCCACTGCCCTAACGTGAGGACTTTGGTCGCTGCTCTTCCAGGCAAACTGTACGGGAGAGGCGCCACCGATGACAAGGGGCCCGTGGCCGGCTGGCTGAACGCCCTGGAAGCCTTCCAGAAGACGGGTCAGGTGCGCCTGGCTCACGCGGTTCCGACTCGGGGACAGGGCGGGGCCGGTCCTGATCAAAGGTCAGGTCAAAGGTCACCGGGACAGGAGGCAGCAAGCTCCCCCCAGGGCGTCAGCCAGCGACTCAGCTTAGAGGACCGGTGGAGTTCCGGCTCAGGAAGCCTGCAGGTGTAATCGCTTTACGGTGTTCCAGGTGCTCCCCCCTACACACCTGCTGGCTCAGCAGGCCCCAGGCCGGCGGGGGAGGGCAGGCCTCACGCCTGAGGGCCGTGTCTGTGAGCAGACCCTCCCTTTCTCTGCAGGCCTCACGGCCTCTGAAGATGCACTTGGTGGTTAAAGTCTGTCCCTTAACTGTGTGCACTCCGCATTGCAAGTTTGCAAAGTACTGAGAAGTAGAGAGAGAAGGTAGCCTAGAAGCTCAGCCCTAAGAGACCCAGGGTTTCGTTGAGAGACCCCCACCCGCTCTGGGCCAGCGTGGGGACCCCTGTGACGAGGAGCCGCGTCGCACTGAGCCGTGGCTAGTGAGGTGCACTCAGTGAGGACGTGACCGTGGCTGGAGCCAGGCTCGTCCCTGACGGCCTGGGGCCCGGGGCCAAGGGCGCCCCTTGGGGATGGGCACAGCCAGCCCAGCCCCAGTGCTCAGCCCGGGTTGGGGGGAGCTGGGTCCTGGAAACTGGAGGCTTGAAAATGCTTGGTGGCTTCCCGTGGGCCGTCTCTGAGACGGACCACCGAGTGCCTGCCGACACCCTCCCCATCCCCCACCGCAGGAGATCCCCGTCAACCTCCGGTTCTGCCTGGAGGGCATGGAGGAGTCGGGCTCCGAGGGCCTGGACGAGCTGATCTTCTCCCGGAAGGACACCTTCTTCAAGGGCGTGGACTTCGTCTGCATTTCCGACAACTACTGGCTGGGCAAGAGCAAGCCCTGCATCACCTACGGCCTGCGGGGCATCTGCTACTTCTACATCGAGGTGCGTGCTGCACTCACTCCCCGAGGTCCGCGCCGGTCCCCCGACCCACGGCCAGCTGGCCCCGAGATCGCGGTAGCAGGGAGTGGGCCTCAGGCTCGGGGTGCCCCCTCCTCTGTGGCAGGGACCACGCTGGTGCTCCAGGCCCGGTGCGGTCAGAACCGGCGCCGTCACCTGTAAGCCGGGTGCATTCCTCGCCGCGGGGTCGCACAGCAGAAGTCAGATGCTGGTCCACCAGGGAGGCCGAGCCTCAGGGCATTTTAGACAGACTTCCTTTGAACAGGGAGATGTTCCGCCCTGACTGGTGAGGCTCGGTTGGTTGGGGCGTCGTCCCCTGACTGAAAGGTTGCAGGTTCAATTCCCAGCCAGGGATGTTTCTCTCTCGCATTGCTGTTCCTCTCCCTCTCTTCCCCCTTCTGAAAACAGCAGTGGAAAAACGTCCTCGGGTGAGGATGGTAAAAAGTGGAAGTGTTGGTGTTTCAGCCCTGGGCTCTTACCCCTGACCAAGTGACCTTGAGGAGCCTGGGACCAGGGAGGACGGACCTGCCACTCACTGTGTGGCAGCCTGAGCCCCCGCTCCCGCTCTGCAGAGAGGGTGGTGGGGTTCCTCCGGCCCAGGTGATGACGATGACGTTAGCTCCTGCCCGCGAGGGTGGTTTGTAGGTGCACGAGTGCCGGGAGTGGTCCCAGCTGCCACCCTGCACTCTCGGCGTGCGCAAGGCCCCTGTCTGCCCGCCGCGGAGGAGACGGGGCCCAGAGCCGTCGCTGCCCTACCCTGGTCACGCCGCGAGGCAGCCGAGGGTGGGATCCGACCCCAGGTCCTCGGGCTCCAGGCGCCGGCTGGCTCTCGGCACTCCTCGCTCACCTGTGCTCAGCACGCCTCCCTCACCTGTGCGCAGTGCTCCTGCTTTCCCTCTGGCCAGCACTCCTAATTTACCTGTGGTCAGTGTTCCCGGTTCACCTGTGGCTAGCATTTCCAAATTTATTTCTTGTTGTTGCTTCCAAGTTTTATAATTTAGGAAACGCCTTGCTTAGCTCATCGAGGGAGCAAATTTTGAGTTTTTAAAACTGCTTGTCGGGACTTGTGGGTGTCCTTGGTTGCAACTGCTGTCGCATGAGGACAGCAAGCTCCCCCCGAGCAGCCCGGCAGCGCAGCCTTTGTCCCCTGCAGGTGGAGAGCAGCGACAGGGACCTGCACTCCGGCGTGTACGGGGGCTCGGTGCACGAGGCCATGACCGACCTCATCGCGCTGATGGGTAGGCACGCGCGTCCGCCAGCACCTGGGGATTGGGAGGAGGGGGCGGGCGTTTCCCAGCTGTCACCAGCGCCCAGTGCATTGGGCTTTCTGCGCGACCCATGTCCGTGTCACTCTGAGGCTCCCTGCCTCCCTCCCTCCGCTCACCGTCCCCTTTAAAGGACGGGGGAACCAAGCCTTCATTTCTGCCTCCGCCCCCTGCCTCCCCAGGCCCCTGGGCCCTGCCTTGCCTCCGGGAGGCCGCTTTGCACCCCTGCCCAGCCTGTGCCCTAGAACCACACGACCGCCCTTCCTGTGGACACACTGTGTGCCACGTCTCTCAGAGAGCACCTGCTTGGGTCTCTTTACACTGTATCTGGCCACAGCGAGGCTGCAGGCCCCGCCCACCCTTCCTGGCACCTGCTTCCTCCCCCGGCGGACGCCGGCTGCGGGCTGTGCAGCCGGCACTGTTCCTGGGACTGCAGTCTCCTCTGCGCCCCTCGCCAGTGCCCGCAGCTCGGGAAGGCGCTCTGCTCGGGGTGACCCGGTCTGTGACTGGGGACAGCTCACCTACCCTTTCGAGTGTCAGTCTCTGCCCTAACCTAGGGCGCTGGCGCCACTCGCTCGCCTGCCCGGGGTGTTGCGGGCCCGAGTGCGCCCGTGTGCCCAGGAAGGGTCTCCTCAGGGCCCTCGTGCCCACACTCCCGGCCCCGCTCGGCCTCGGGCTCCCTGCTGCCTGCCTGCTGAGCGCGCCCCCCTGCCCCCCTGCAGGCTCCCTGATGGACAGGAAGGGGAAGATCCTGGTGCCCGGCATCCACGAGGCTGTGGCCCCTGTGACGGAGGAGGAGCTGGAGCTCTACGACAAGATCGACTTTGAGCTGACGGAGCACGCCAAGGACGCAGGGGTGCAGACTTTGCGGCACAGCTGCAAGGTGCGACCCCGGCTGTGCCCGCCACTGCCGGACCCTGCGGGGAGGGGCGGGGGGCTGGCACGGTCGGCCGTGGCCGTGGGCCCCCGGGCCAGCAGGTGGTGCAGCCCCCACAAGGAGGCAGGCCCCTCCCAGCTGGGTGCCCAGAGGTGGCTGGAAAGGTCACTTGGTGCCCGGTGCCACTGGAGGGCCCGAGCAGAGCAGACCAAGATGGGGGCAGGAGGCTGTCGCCTGCTTGCGTGTGTGGGATGCCCCCCCGGCCCCACCCTGGGCAGAGGTGGCGTGAGGCCCCTCGCGGGGCCCGGGTTCAGTTGCCAACCGCACAGGACGTCCCTTCAGCCGGGGTGGGGGAAGCTGTGTTGTCCCTAGTAGTTAGTTTAGCTCCTGGTCTAGGAGGAGGACGCAGGCTCACGTTCCATCCACGCAGCGATCACTGAGCCCAGTGACAGGCCTGGGGTCTGGGGGGGCAGCAGGGCCGGGCCCTGGCTTTCATCTCTTCAGAGACGGGCGGGCCAAGGCATGTAAAACCACCTGCAGAGGGCACTCGGGGCCTGGGGTGCAGCGGGCAGTCCTGGTTTCCCTGCCCCTGCGGGGACAACACCCACGCTCTGTGCCCCGTGGGTCTCAGGGGTTAGCACACGGCCCGAGCTGTGCCCCCTCTCTCTCCCGGTGCCTGCGGCCCTGCCGGGGCTCCGCTGTCCGCGGGCCCGTGACCTCCCCTGCGTTCCACTGAGCCGGCGGGAGCCCGTGGCTCTGGTCGTCCGTTTTGTTAAACCGAGCGGTCCAGAGCCGCACTGAGGCACGGACGGGGCACACCCGGGGCCGCTGGGAGTGCAGAGCCCCCTTTCTGGGGCCGCCCCTCTGCCAGCCCCGGCGGGGTCCGCCCCTCCTTCCCGTGCCGGTGCCGGCCGGCGCTGGGCCGGCGGTGACTAGGAAGGACCTGCCGGACAACACTGCCGGCTCCTGGAAGGCGGACAGCGTGGCCCCTGACCCCCCCCCCCCCCACTGCTCTCCGCAGAAAGACGTCCTGATGCACAGGTGGCGGTTCCCGTCGCTGTCCCTCCACGGCATCGAGGGCGCCTTCTCCGGCTCCGGGGCCAAGACCGTGATTCCCAGGAAAGTGGTCGGCAAGTTCTCCATCAGGCTCGTGCCCAACATGACCCCCGAGGCCGTCGGCAAGCAGGCACGTGGGGTGCCGGGAGGGCTGCCGCATGGCGGCTCGGGTCGGGGGAGGACAGGAGAGCTCCCGCAGGGCCCGCCCGCCTGGGGACCCACACCCACGCCCACAGGGCCGCGGGGCCCCGGCCAGCTGGGTCACTGCTGGAAGCCGCAGTTCAAGGGCTGGTCAGAGATAAAGGCCATATAAAAAAGCATCCCAGGGAAGAAGTGGCCTTTGTCACTGCTGAGGCATGCCAAAACCTGCCCTCTGACCTCAACCTAAGACTTCAGCTCTGACAGTCACTTTGGGTGGAGTGCGTTACAGTGAGCCCCCTCCGGGCCGTGGTGAGGGACGGAGGGCAGGACCCAGGAAGGGAAGGCTTGGGTAGGGGGGGTGAGTTCCTGCAGCTGCAGGCCCGGCGGGCTTCCCGGGAGCGGTCGCCCTGGATGGGAAGGTTTGCGGGGTGGAGGCGAGGGCCTCCCTGTTGGGAGAGGACCCCGCGGACTGGCCTGCGTCATCTGGAGGTGTCCCTGGGCCGGCACCTGGCTCCGCTTTTGGCCTGGATGCGATCGTTTTTATGAAGACGCAGATCAAAAAACATTTTTAAAAATGTGACTTAGAGATTATAGTTATATGGAGACGTCTGCATAAAGGGTGAATTGCTTGTTAGTAAAACATTACCTCTCACCTTCAAGTAGCCGGGTTTTGATTCCCGACACAATCCCTTCTTCTGTCGCCACGGCCGTGCAGACCGGAGGTGGGCAGCAGGAAACGGGGCCACCGGAGACTCGAGGCAGACTCGCAGCAGACGGGTCAGAGAGCCCCGCGCTCTCACTGTGCGCTCGCTGCGGACCCGCCGCAGCCTCTGTAGCCCTACTGTGGACGCTTGGTCGACGCGGGCAGACTGCCTGCGGGCCAGGCGTGAGCCCTGTGCTCTCACTGCAGACTCAGCGCAGACCCACTGTAGACCTACTGTGGGCGCTCAGTCAACACGGACAGACACTCTGTGGGCCAGGCTGAGCCCTGTGCGCGCACTCAGACTAGCCATGGGATGGACCACTGGCAGCGGAGGCCGTGCCCAGCTCTCTGACACGCTGTGTCTCTTCTGCCCGTGGCTCAGGTTACAAAGTACTTGACGGAGAAGTTTGCTGAACTGCACAGCCCCAACAAGTTCAAGGTGTACCTGAACCATGGTGGGAAGCCCTGGGTGTCCGACTTCAACCACCCTCACTACATGGCTGGGAGAAGAGCCCTGAAAACAGGTCAGACTCCCCCCCTGGGGACGATGCCCAGGCCCTCGGCGCGCCTGTGCGGCTGTGTGCACCATGTGGGTGCACAGCTGCGTGGGGAGGCGCTGGGGAGCGGCGGTGCCCAGGCCGGGCTGCACCGTCGGCTGCGGGGAGGGGGGCCGCCGTCCCAGGCCTCACGCGGGGTCTGGTCTTGGGGGTGGGGGGGCAGGAAGTAGGCCTGCAGGGGCCCGGCCCCAAGGCTCACCGTGTCTTCTGTGTCATCCCCCCAGTTTTTGGTGTGGAGCCGGACTTGACCAGGGAAGGTGGCAGCATTCCCGTGACTCTGACTTTTCAGGAGGCCACGGGCAAGAATGTCATGCTGCTGCCCATGGGGTCGGCTGATGACGGCGCCCACTCCCAGAACGAGAAGCTCAACAGGTGGGACTCCAGTCCTCGTCCTGGCGGCCTGGGCCTGTCTCCTCAGGGGGCTGGGGGGGGTGCCCGTGGGGGAGATACCACCATGGGAGCCAGGCCCCCCCCTGCCCTGCCACCAAGGGGCTGTTTCTGGGCCCCTCCCCCGAGCTCTGCCCCGTCTGCCCTTGGGGGGGGGGAGGGGGGGGAGGGGGTTGGCGCTCCTGGTGGGCGGCAGGGAAGGAGGCCTGTGGGCCAGTCTCCAGGGTTCGCCCGGTGGTCTGTGTCTCCGTGCTTCCCCTTTGGCCGGGACGCCGGTGGGGGCTTCTCAGGCTGCCTTTGTGCGGCCCTGGCTCCCACAGGTGCCGCGGGGCTCTGCTGGGCAGCGGGGACGGAGCTGGCCTCTGAGCTGGCAGTGAGGGAGGGGCCCGCACAGGTAGGGAGCACCTGAGGCTGTGAGGAAGGGCTGAGGAGGACAGGAAGCAGGGCCACCTTGGGGTCGGGGACTGAGCCGGCTGAGACCCTGCCTGGAGGGCAGCGGGGGCGGGGGGACAGAGACCTGGGTCCTAGGATGGGAGCTGGAGGCTCCGGCCCACAGAAACAAAGGGAGGCCGTGGCACAGGCAAGGCCTTTCGTAGTCGGGGCCCCGTGCGACCCCGAGGACCCGGGGCCAGGACAGGTTCCTGGTGGGACGCTCGGGCTGAACCTGTGCTGGGGACCAGGTGCCCAAACTCTGAAGTCAGGCAGCACTCGCGGCCGCCCGGCCGGGACGGCGGGCGCTCCCAGACCGCCAGTGTGCCTGGGCCGCAGGACACCGGCCGCCGCGCTGACTCTCCCTCTCCGCCAGGTACAACTACATCGAGGGAACCAAGATGATGGCTGCCTACCTGCACGAGGTGTCGCAGCTCAAGGACTGAGGGCCCTCAGCCCTGCACCCCCACCCTCTTCCGACCGCTCGCGCAAGCAGCCTGTCCTCCTCCTCCTCCTCGTCCGCGAGGGGGCGCGAGAGCCCCAGCCTGCCCCCGAGTTTTCAGGGGTGCTCAGCGTGACTCGGTCCCCGGCTCCAGTGGCACGAGTTCTTCCGCAGACACTTCTGGCCGGCGTCCAGGTGGCTGAACAGGGGCCGCAGCGCTTCCTGGCTCCGCCTCTGCCTCTGCTCCAGGGTCGGCCCCGGGGAGAATCTGGTCTGGTCGGGGCACCACCCGTTGTCCCCTTCCCGGCCTCTCGGTGCCCCGCCCTTCTCCGAACGCTGCTGGAACCGTGGCGAGGCCTCTCCTGTCTCCTCGCGGACCCTCCATCCGGACCCGCCTGGGCGGGTCACGGGGTCTCAGGCTGTGTGGATAAATAAAGAGTGCGAAGGGGCCCTGGACGCGTCACTGCCCGCGGACAAATAGCACACGGGGCGGGGGCGGGGCCAGGAGGGGCGGGCTCTCCTCTCCTAGCCCCTCCCTGCCGTCAGGGAGGTGTCTGTCCCCGCCCCCTTGTCTTAGGCTACCCAGGCACCAAAAACCCAATCAAGTCGGTTTAAACAGAGTGGAGACTTGATTGGCCAGCGGATGCACAGCCCAGAGTAAGCGGGAAGCAGGGCCTCGTGCATTGGAAAGCCCACTCTGCTTACCACCCTGACTCGCAGGTCAGAGCGCGGGTGGGAATAGGGCTGCTGCTACTGGGCCTTCTGCCTTCAATGGCCCAGCCGAACGGTGGCCCTGGAAGTGGTTCTTTCGGCCCCACGGCCTCTCGCCACCTCCACTCCCTGGGTCCGCCCCGCCCCGGGGGTCGCCCGCACAGCGCCCTGAAGCCTCAGGCTCTGCCCTCTCCGCATCTCCGCCCAACCTCCCGACCTCCTTCCGGCCCCGGGGAGGCTCGTCCTGGGAGGAGAGCCTGCTGCTGCGGGTCACCCTGCCCTCAGGGGACCCAGTCCTCCGGGCTGTGTGCCCCGGGGGTCCTTGCACTTCACCCGGAGTCCTGCTCAGAGATGAGGGGCTTTGCCTGCTGCGGGGGTGGCCGAATCCCAGGCCTGCTGTGTTGTTTTCCCGTCACTGCGCAGGGGGGCCGGCCACCCACAACGCAGCTGCCCGGCCTCACGGGGAAAAAGGCAGAACCCAGTGGGGTGCACTCCTGGCCCAGGAGAGCCGGGCACAGAGGGGCCCTCCCGACCACTGGGGAAGTCAGGTTCACTCTGCTCTTGTGGCTTCGGGGTGTCTGGGTCGGAACGCTGCTTGAGCCCGACCCGTGCGGGGTCTGCAACCGCCACGTGCTGGTTAGTGAGGACACGGGCCCGGCTGCGGTGGCCGACCAACCAGGGCTTCCCCTCGAGGGCAGTTCAGACGTGTCTCAGTGACACCAGGTCTGCACGGCCAGGCCGGTGTGGACGCCCCCGGTGCCATCTCATGGCCGTGACCTCTGCCCCTCGGCCTGTAACCCCAGCTGCACGTAGCATGGGGACAGGGAGGGGCGACCCAGAGGTCGCAGACTCTCCTGCCCTTGGCAGCCTGCGCCCAGCAGGGACTCCGGGCCAAGGCTGAGGGCACCAGAGGGGGGAGCAGGCCTGGCCGAAGAAGTTCCTATCGCCGGGCAGGGGTGGGGGAACAGATGGGGGAGGGGCAGCCGACATGCGTGCCTGTTACACCACAATGCGGTGGCACCCGTCCCAAGGAAACCCGGGAAAAAAACAGGAAACGGGAACATCTGCATCCGCCCTGAGGGTTCAGGAGTCCCGGGAGCCGTGAGGGCAGGCAGTCTCGGCCCAGATCGGCCTTTTGTGCAATGCGATTTTAAGCTGGTTATCTTTAAGAAGCCAAAGACCCAGGAAGAACCTTTGTCCTTCCCCCGCCTGCCTCTAAGGTTCACATCCCGGCCTGCCCCAGGGAGGGAGGGAGCTGGCATCGTGGGTAACTAGCAGGGAGGAGCTTCTCAAGGCCTTGACCCAAGTCCTCTCCGGGGTCCCTTGTTCAAGACAGCCCGGCAAACCTGTGCTGCGTCCAGCCTGGGCCGCTTGCCCGTGCCAGCAGTCAGCACCCGCTGGAACCTGACTCTGAGCCCTCCCTGCTCCCCCACCTGCACCGGGCTGCTCCTGTACCCCTCTATCTGGTGATCCCTGCTTCCAAGCACTGCCGTGTCCTCCCTGGGCCTTCCCGCCAGCGGCACGTGGGGGCGGGCATCGCCTCGGGGTCGGGACTGAGCCTGAGCTGAGCTCGCCCATCATCCCCGAGACTGGGGGGTGATGGAGACGCTTGTAGCTCTTAGGGCTTTCGGCGGAATTCTGTTTCTGTACACGGCTTCCTCCACCCCAAGGGTGTCCAGGCTGCTCTCCAAAAGCCACGCCCTGACCAACTCGCTCCTCGGGGCTTGCTGCCAGAGTCCACCTGGGCAGAATGCCTGCCTCCAGCTCCGTGGGGAATTAACAGAGTCCAGAAGGGCCTGTGGGGGGAGGGGGAGGTTTGGCTTTTATTTCTAATCCCGTGGCGGTGAGAGAGACCAATAAGGCGTTTTTTCCTGTATTGTTGCAAAGCCATCGGCTCAGTCGCGGGCAGAGCCACCTGCGTAAAGCCACCACAGGGGACCGTCAGCGACGTGGTAGGTGGGGTTCTTGGCGTCCGCGCTGACCGGCACGGAGTTTCTGACGGGACAGGGTTCGGCTGGTGGGCCCTGAGTGTTCGGGGAGGAACCAGGCCAGGTGCAGGCCCTGTGCAGGGAGAGGCCAGGCTGCTTCCACTTCGACTCTGTCCTTGGCTCGGTGGCAGCGGACCGCGCGCCTCCCTCCCAGCCTCCGCTGGGGCTGCCGGCTGTCTTCCCGGCAGGAGACGGAAGCGCCCCGAGTGTCCTTGGATAACGCAGCCTGTGGCAATTTTGAAGTCGCCCAGGCTGCTGGCAGCTCAGCGCACAGAGACCAGGGGAGGAGAGGGAACCCAGGGCCGCCGGCTCCGTGGGAAGAGGGGCTCTGAGGACAGGAGCGGAGCTGATGGGAGAGGATGGCGTGGGGTGGGTCCCCCGCAGAGGACGCGGGCACCACCGCAGAGAGTCTGCAGAGTGCGGGCATTTAAAGTGGGGCCCAGTGCGGGGGCCCTGAGGACTCCACCTCGAAGAACCCGGAGCTGGAGTTAGTAGGGGCTCAGGGAGCATGTGGGGTTCCCTCCGAGAGAGTGTCCTGCAGGGGGGGGCGTCTCCGGCTGCGCCTGCGCTACCTGCCCCACCAAGAAAACTCTGAGACCCAGCCTCTGGCTCCGCTCCCTGGCCCCGCCCCGGGCCCCTGCCTGCCCTCCAGCACAGGTGGAAGCCCGGAGTAGCCCCGGCCCTTCAGGTCCAAAGCCAAGTGTGACTGGAACCCAAGGACACAGACAGAGAGGGCCCCGGGCGGACCCTACACAGGCTGTCACAGCCCGTCTCCACAGCCACAGCCCGTGGCCCGGGGCGCTCCATGGGGCACTGCAGACCCGGGGGCAGCACCGCCACCAGGGACAGCCCTTCCGGGGGCCAGTCCGAGCTCCCCCTTCCTGTTGGGAAGGTGGGGCCCCTCCTGAGATCCCTACCCTTCTCAGCCCTCACCACCCCAGCTTCTTCCTTTCCTTTAAAGGCCCCGTTTCATTTTTTACCGAGAGGAGCACCACCCAGTTTTTCAATGGAAACGGAATGGATCGGCTGCAAAAGAGCAGCCCACCGCATTTCAGAGAGCCTTTCCCGGCGCCCAGCACGTCCTTTCCCGCCGCTGCCGGTCCCCAGGAGTCCTGTCCCCCTGATTCACGTGCGGCCCCCCGGGTCTTGGCTCTGCCCCCAGGAGCTTGGCTGGACCCAGCCCCGCTCCCACTGGGAGGAGGCAGAGGATGCTCCGGGGCGGCTCGCTGGCGCCATCTATGGCCCAAGCTCTTAATCTGCTTGTGCATGAGCCTGCCTCAGGTGGACCTTGAATGTTCCCACTCCTCAGCTTCCCTTAAAGACATTTCTCATGCTGGGCAACATGTTTATACTGCAGAGCGAGTGTTTATATCTGCGGTTGTTATTTTCATTGCAGCTGTATTGCAATGTAACTCACACAGCTTACAATCCACGTATGTAAAGTGTCCAGTTTGGTGGGTTTTAGCATGCTCCGAATCACACCGTCATTGCCAAAACCTGCTTCAGAACTTGCCGTCACCCCAGAGAGAACCCCCTACTCGTCACCAGCAGCCCCTCCCCATCCCCCCCAGAGCTACCAGCCCAGGCCGCCACCAGTCTGCTCCGCGTCTCAGGGTCTGACTGTTTTCCTGGGCGCTTCCTGTCGGTGGGGCGGGGGCCCGGCACCGTGTGGTTTTCTGGGCCGGGTGCCTCGCTCCGAGCACGGTATCCGGGGCTCCCCCACGCTGCGGCGTGCACCGGCACCTCCCTCCTTCCCGTGGCCGAGCAGCGTTCCGGTGTGCGAGCACGCACCCCACGCCCTGCTGACCCGCTCACCCACTGACGGACACTCGGGTCGTGGCTATTGTGCATGAGGTTACCGCGGACACCACGCACGAGCTTCTGCGTGGGCGCCCATCTTCGTCTCCCTCGAGGACGTGACTAAGGGTGGGGCTGCCGGGCAGACGTTTGATCACCTGAGGATGGACGGACAGACAGACAGACGGACAGTTTTCCAGGGAGGCTGCGCCACTCGGCGCCCCCAGCAACCGTGTCCCCGGGCTGCGGGGTCTCCACACTGTCTCAGACGCTTGTCCACCTCTGACATGTGACTGTCACCTGAGAGCAGGTGTGAGGCCGCATCTCCTTGCTGTCTGACTCGGGCCTCTCTGGCGGCCAGCAATGTTGAGCCTCTTTCTGCACGCTTAAACAGTCACTGGCACATTGTCTGTGGAGAAACGTCTATTCGAGTCGGGTTGACTTGTCCCGTATTCGTGACTGGCAGTGGCTCTGGGTGGTCTGGACACACGTCCCCTGCTTGGCTCTGCCAATGCCCGGAGCTGGAGGCCGAGGAGAGAAGCCCTCCGCACCTGACAGGGCTCTCAGAAATAAAGTCCGTTTTCAAAATGCGCAAAAGCCCACCAGGAGGAGACGGCTTGGGTGAAGGAAATGAGTCAGTTCCGAGCTCGGAGGTCCTGCCGTCTGGTTCTCCGCTCTGCGGCCTGGGGCCACCACCGAGGGAAGGGCAGCGACCCGGACAGGGCCCACGTCGGTCGGGAGGGAAGGAAGGAAGGGACCTGTTAGGGGCAGAAGCAGAGAGCGGGCAGCTCCCGGGTGGGCTGGGCGGCCAGCAGCTGTGAATTATCTCCGGTTCTCCTGTGTCGCTCATCACGGCGCGGCGGTATGGTGGTCCTCTGTGGAGTACCCCAGCTTCAGGAGCGGACAGAAAGGAGCCCCCATGCCAGCTCTGCACAGGAGTTGGCACAGTCCTT